GAACATGTGACCACTGAAAAGATATATCCCACAAAGGAAGACAATAGGAAATGATTTGTGACAGCCTTTTGTCATGGCCTGAACACATGAACTGATACAAGCTGTTGAAGATCAAAGGAAGACTGTGGAGAGGCATAATCGCCCATGCCAGTCTGCAAGGCATTTGATGATGATAATTTTTTAATGATATTGAAAAGTGGGCGGGGGGGGGGGGGGGGGGGGGGGGGTCCAATGGCAAACCTTTAAACATAAGAGAGGTCGGCAGGTGTTAGGTAATTGGCAACCATTACTTCAAATTATTTATAGATAATCTAACCTCAGTGCACAAAGAGGGTAAGGAAAATAACCACGCACAAAAACATAGGAGAATCACTACCAGACAGACAGTAGGTGAAAGGAATAATTTTAAAAAAAGCTAGATGGATAGACATGCCCTGAATTTTGTGACCATTCATAGGTCATGTGTTTATGTTAACTTTTTTTGTACTTTAAAACTCATTAGATGTTCACTGGTCAGTCCTCTTTTTTTTTTTATGTTCACTGGCTGTAAACAATAGCAGAAAGTTCTGATTGTTCGTCTACCTCTAGACTTTGGTCTCTTTCCAGAACTTGAGCTTGGCATGCAAATCCATTTTACAGATGTGGCTTATCTGCTCCCTCGACTCTCAGGTGGATGCACACCCATTTAAAAGAAACAGTCCTAACTAGTAGACTTTTATGACATGCGTTATTTTCTTAGGTGGCAGTGGGTCTATCCCACACCTGCAAATGGCTTCTGGAACCCACATGGGTAACTGGTTAGTGCAAGACAGGATTCCTTTCTCACCATCTTCTAAAGCAGACATTTGTTACATTAACTCAAGCTATCCTGCTTGTTAGTATAGTTCCTTCTGTCTTATAGTGTTATTATTTAACCTTCTTCTAACTCACGCAGTGGTGCTCTAAACTAAATATTCTTAAGATAGGAAAAATTGAAGTAATTAATAGTTGCTACTGAATTATCTGACATCTGAGCATTTTAATAATCTGTAAGCAGTCAACAAAATGTATTATATCTGAAAGCTACAGTAAAAGACCCTTTTTACTTATTACACCAGCGGTAAGTTGGTCATATGATGCTACTCATATCTGCATACAGCAATCAGCACTCAGTGGATGACTGTGGTCATAATCATGCTGGCCGCCTTTACTTTCCAGGACAGTTACCTGGTACCCATTTTAGGTTGGCTGACCTGAGAGCCAAGGTCAATTCTGAGGGGGAAAAGGCTGGTTTGACATTTGATGTGTGGATTCGAACCAAAGACTGTTAGGTCAGCAGGCAAGCTGCTACTGCAGCTCTATGCATATGGTATGAAATCAACAAAAGGAAAGACACAAGGAGATACAAGTAGATATTGTGACCAAAGTCATTAGCAACAAACAAACACAAACAAATGCAGAACACTGAAGCACAACCACTAAAAAGGAATTTATGTTACAAAGGAAAACATAAATAAAACCTTAAATTAGGGAAATTGAAAACATTGAAAGATAAAATGAGGTTAGGGTTTTGAAAAAAAAAAAAAATAAAAAAGAACAAATCAGGGAGAGGAAAAAACATGCATATGAAAATGACAGAGAAAGTATGTGTAATTATTCCAAATAAGACAAACATTTATGTCATTTCTTCTTCTTTCTTCTTCTTCTTCTGCTTCTTTCTTCTTCTTCTGCTTCTTTCTTCTTCTTCTGTGTTTATTATTAGAAGGGCAACTGGCATATTATGTTGTGATTTACAGCTAACCTGCAATATCTGCACCTTTTGGCCTAACGCACCTGATTTTTAACAATCCTTAATTAGATGCCTTTTACATGCTTGTTAGGGGGCAATGGGTCTATCCCTTCCCGCTTTTTCTTTCCTTAAGACTCATCCTATTTCATTATACATTTGTCTAAACCAGCGGTTCGCAGCCTGTGGATTACGCCACTTTTTTGGGTTGAACAACCCTTTCACGGGTGTTGCCTAAGACCATTAAAAAAAATATACATTCTCTGAAGTTATGAAGTAGCTACTAAAATAATGTTATGTCTGGAGGTCACCACAACATGAGGAACTGTATTAAAGGGTCATGGCATTAGGAGGGTTGAGAACTACTGGTCTAAACTCTGTACTGAACATGCAGTTGTTAACATAACTCATCCTGATCCAACTGTTACTTTAACTCCTTCTCGTTCATTGTGTTATTATTTTTGCATATTCTGACTTAAAATATTTATTAAGCTTTTTCCAATAGAGAGTAAACAACAGTACAGTAAAGGATCTTTTCTATGCCAGTGGAGGAATGGACATATGATGCTAGAGTCAGATTTGTATAGAACAAACAGCACTTGATGAATGATGCAGTCAACATCACCCCTTCCCATGTGGGTCCCTGGGTCCCATTGTGGGGAAAACAAGACAGACCCACTGCCTGCCCAAAAGCATGTCATAAGAGTCGACTAATTTGGAGCTTCCTTTGAAGTCAGAGTTCATCTGCCTGAGAAGCTAGGAACCAATCGTCTGCATGCAAATAGTCAGATCTGTGAAACAGATGGGCTCGCAATACTCAATTCCTGGAATAGGGCTAGAGTCCGGAGGTGGACAAACAACCAGAACTTTCTGCTGGAGTTTTCAGCTGGTGAATGCAAAGAAGAAGAAAAGAACACCACACCACCAACATTTACTTCCCAGGACATTCTTTAGTACCCATTTTAAGCTTCTAGAATAGAATGAGTTCAATATTGTCTGTCTTGTTTCTAAAATAGTTAACCTGTTAGGCATCCTAGTCATTTCATTTTGTGGTCACTCATTTTCAGATGTCAGTCTTGCAGCAGTCATTTCTTCTGTATATCAATTTAGTTAAAAAGTGATTATTCAGTGCCATCATCATCATCATCAATGCCACCCTCCAGATCATCGCCTTCATCGCCATCATCATCGTCGTCATCATCATCTTCAACCTAAAGGATGCAATATAATGGAAAAAACTGAACTTTTAAGTGGCAAATGGCCTACATAACACAGTATCTTAACATAGTTTTAATAAAGCTAGACTATAAATTTAGTGCTGAATCATAATCTGGGGAGGGACCAGATGTGTGTAGGGTGTTAAGCTGTGAGCGCAGGGACTGGCCAGCTGGTGCTGCAGAATCATAAGTTCAGCAAGTGATTCATGACAATTCCCACCCAGGTGACATGATTTTCTGTACAGTTAGCTCTGTGTCGAGAGGTAGATGAAGTGCATGGTGGTTCATACCAAAAGCCAATGTAGTGCAGCAAAGCCTGGCATATGATATTACAATGTCCAGTTTGAGAATGGAGGTGAAGGCAGTCATTGCCACCTTTAGCTGGCTTCAGAATCAGCTGTACACACATGTCGTAACTGTAACTGACTCACAGAGCATGTTGAGAAAGGTGGAGACAGGCATGCTCCATGCAGAGTGGCAAGTATCGCTTCAGAGGTCTCAGGCAGTTCTTTGGATATTTTTGCAAGCTTATGCCAGTGTGTTGGGCCCTTTGGAAGTGAGTGAACAGTGAGGAGGTACAAACAGACCATTACATTCTGAGGATAACGGCACTGTGAGGATCAGTTATACGCCTGCCTGCCAGCCTGGAGGTCTTTGGTTTGAATCCACATCAAGTAGGATTCCCCCCTCCCCCACACTGACCTTGGCTCCTAGATCACCCCAGCCTAAAATGGGTACCAAGTCCATAAAAGTAAAAGTGGCCAGTGTGATGTTGAGTGTGTCTATAAAATATGAGCCTAGAATTATAGGCCATATGAGCCACTGGTGGAGAAAAGGGTAATATGTCTCTTTCTTTCCTTTCCAATATTCACATGTGTAAACAAGATGAAGATGAATGGAATTGGGTGGCCAGTTCCCTTCTTCACTACCATGACTTCCTGAAAAATTTATACAAATGACAGAAAATCTGAAGCCCATTTTATGAGGCTGAACAGACACAGATCAAACTGCATATGAGGATCTTTTACAGCAGAACTTCTGGGAGGAATGCGAGGGAAAGATCAAGAAAGAGATGGATAAATATGTGTAGCTGAAAACTACAAAACTCAAGCTCCAAGTTGCCTGAGAAGAGCAAGAAAAATACAGAAAACCACGACACTGGGCTACAACCTGGTATCAGAAAGGTGACAAAAGAAGAAGAGCAGATGCACACATCACGATTATTCGCATTACTAAATAACAACAAAACAATGATGCTGCGACTTAAAGGTTAACTATATCATCAGTCAATCAATCAGCATGTCCTTTGCAGAATATCGCTCTCTTCCCAGCACTCGTGAAAGTCTCTTCCTCCAGACAATTCCCCAGCCCTGTGTGCTTTCATAGCCAGTGCATCTTCAATGCTCTGTATACACCTTCACAGAGGTCGGCCTCTGTCTCATTTTCTGGAAACTGCACTCCCCATTACCATTCTCTCCAGACCACCGTGGCACCTGACATGTCCAAAATGCTTTAGCTTTCAGGAGAGGACCCTGTTTATAAGCCAGTTTTTCTTAATGTTCAGGTCAAGCCGGATGTCAACGTTTTTCTCCTTTTTGGTTCACAGTATTTTAAGAATTTTTCTCCAGCATTTTAGTTCAAAAGCTCAGATTTTCTTCTTAAAATACTGAATGACAGTCCATGACTGACGACCATAAGTTGCCACAGGAAAGATGCATGATCTCAAAATGTTTACTTTAGCCTGCAGGTGCTATGACACAGGTTCGCCATGCTGTTTAGTCTCTGCAATATGATATAGTAGATATTTATATATATCATCCTGGGATATTTTTTTTTATCTTAATCTGGACGGTAGATCAACAAGGTAGACTCCAGATAGTGCGTTCAACCTCCCAAAAAAAGTTAAAATTAGGCCATCCATTATGACTACACCGGCCCGGTGTAAACTACAGTCCTATGTGGGTAAGGACAGAAGAAATCAGAAAATACAGACTTTTGAAACTGAAACTCAAACCTACCTGTTGGCCAAGTGCCTTCAACTGTGACTTGTATTTTTCAATTTTTGTATCCTGGTCTGCTAGTAGCACTAACAGATCATCTTGTTCTTTCTTAAGACTGTCTAATTCCTCCTTCAATTTCTTGGTCTCCTCTCCGAATTTCTCTTTCTCCTCTTCAAGGATCTGGCCAAAGATAAATACAAAAGCGCTGTCTTATATTGGTGACAGTTTCTTCCCTGTGTGGGTTCTAGGACCGCATTTCGGGAGAAATAAAATAGACTCACCTCCCACTTACAAGCATGTAATAAAAGGCAACTAATTAGGGTTGCTAAAATGTGCAAATATTGCAGCTTTGCTCTAAACCACAACACAATGTGCCAACAATATATATACTGTTACAGTTTTAGTGCCTGTTCTTTCTAAGTATATGTAATCCCATGGCAGATACTGCCACTAGTGGTCAGTTCTCTTTTCAATTGCATGTCACCTGACCAGCTAATTGTCATAATAGACAAAAATGTACTTTGTACCCATCTTAACTCTTTCGGTCCCAAGGAGTTGTTACTTTAACCCCCATATATTCCAAAGAGTTGAGCTTAAACTATTTTACTTTTTTCTGCACTCATCCTTAAAAATGTGCTATCCGATGTCAAACATCCGATGTCTGTAAACTCCTAATCAGTCACCTTTTACAACATACCTGTTAGAGGAAGTGGGTCTATTCTTCCCCCTCCCCCAAGGAATTTGCATAGTGAGAGCTTAAAGCAATAATATGTAAGTCTGAAGGAGTTTAACAGATGCACTAAATGATACTAATGTCAGTTTTCTATCCTTAACAAGACATTGTAGAATTAACCCAGGCATTTTTTATTTTTGCTGTTGTGGTTTTCTTAGGCAAACTTTACATTCAGTAGTTTGCCACTGCTGCCTGAATGGTCAGCTCTAAGTACCATTGTCAAAACTAACACAAAACAAATCGTCTGCAGCTGGGATCGAACCCCGCTTTCAGGAAGTAGGTTTGCAACACCTGAGCTACATATGCCGACACATACCTCATCTTTTTCTTCTTAATGTTCACTGGCTGCAAACTGCGGCAGAAAGTTCTGGGTCTTTTTCTTTTTTTTTTTTTTTGTCGCCCATTTCTTGGTTTTAGTCTTGCTCTGGAACTTGAGCTTTCCGTACACATTGGTCCCACAGATATGGCTTATTGAATGCAGACTGTAAGTTTCTTCTTCTCAGACAGATGCACCCCAACTTTGAAGGACATTCCTCCCTAATTAGTTGCCTTGTACAACATGCTTGTTACGGCGCAATGGGTCTACTCTTTCTCATGTAATTCGACTCAGACCCCAGAAAGAGAACATTCATGACAACATAGCAGAATGGAAAATTGGTCAATCTGTCTGTTACATACTCTGAAGGTACTGGGTTCATTGCACCAACTGTGCCACTCGGTTCATGAATATAATTTTATGAAGATCCCTGGGGGCGGTGACTGGAGCGACAGAGTTCATGCTTTGTGCAATGCTATCATCGCATCGTATCGTAAAAATTAAAAAAAATCCAAGCTTAGTCCTTTTTTAGCCACCTGAAGGCCTGCTTAATCAAAGATGGTTCCTTTGCTATCTTATTTTAGCTCTATTCCTTTGTGGTGTGCAATTACACCTAAGTTCGATGCAGGTTTTAAGGGTCCTGGTTCCTGGCTTTAGCTGGTTGTCTGCTGGCCGTTGCACTGATCATCTGTGCGAGCAGTGAACAATGCTATCAGCAGAGTATGTGGTAATGCTGACAGATCTAAATCCGTACTTGAAGCACTCCAGTCTAGGAAACTACCAGAATTGCAAACACTGCTGAAACAACTCAACCTTCAGCGAAGAGTCGTAATGCAGTGGATACCATCTCATTGTGGAGTGCCTGGAAATGAGAAAGCTGATCAACTGGCAGGGGAAGGTGTGACAAAAGTGCAGCCAGATGTACCAGTCACATACAACCAAAAGAAAAGAATCATTAAATCGATCAGGAAACCACTGGCCCCAGCACAAGACGACTATTTTATTATGGACAGACCAGAACAAGTCATTATCCTCCGCCTCAGAACAGGGCACAACCCATTATGTAACCACATGTACACAAAATTCAAGATAGGTGTATCAGCCATGTGCAGCTGTGGAAAGGTGCCCCAGACAGCAGAGCATGTACTCCAGGACTGCACCCAATTTTACACATTAAGGCAAACCTTTTGGCCAGAAAGAACAACAGTGGAACGTAAACTCTATGGACCACTGAATGAACTAACGGCTGTGAAATTTATAGAAGAGACAAAACTGCTGATATAGACAACTCATTTCAGGCGAACGAAAGAAGAAGAAGAAGAAGCTATCAGCAGGCAGCTAGCCCTTATACAGTAAGAGACATGTCATATGGGATAAAACTCTGCAGAATAAAAGACAATCTTCTCAAATTATAATGGTAGACTTACCCTAATAGTGCTAGCAAGTTTCAGATTTTCCTCATTCGACTTTTTTAACCTGTCCTGTAGGATGTTTTTTTCATCCGTGACTGCTTTCAACTGAGCTTCTGTGGCCTGTAGCCTGGACTCAAGCTCGCTAGAGTCTGAAGTGGAGTCAACATCGTTGGGAATATCTGCCTGTTCAATGGTTAAAGCAAAGGTAGATTGTTATTTATTTCTGTTTTTACTGCATTGGTAATAAACAATAAATGGGTCTTTTACATTTAAATTGTTTACATTTATATTCTTTACATTTATATTCTTTACATATATATTTTTTACATTTATATACTTTAAATTTATATGCTTTTTATTTATATACTTTACATTTATATTTTTCCATTTATACTTTTTATGTTTAGATTCTTTACATTTATACTTTTTATGTTTAAGATTCTTTACATTTCTATTCTTTACATTTATATACTTTAAATTTATAATCTTTATATTCATTTTTGACATTTATATTCTTTGCATTTATATATTTTATATTTATATTCAAAATGTTATCAAATACTGCTAAAAATGTAATACCAACACTAGTCTACACAGCCAGGATTGAAAAACTTAGTACATATAGCAAAGTTTTCTTGTCTTGATTTCGAGTGTAGTAACTATTACACCAAACATAACAGATAAAAAATATCAACAAAATCAGAACTCACTACAGTTTCTCTGGAAACCAGAAAATCACAACTACGCATCACAGTTATATATTAACAAAAAGTGTCATCAGAGAAAAAAGCTTTCCAGTCACCTTCTGTAACAGACTTCTAGTCTGATACAGCTCAGACTGCAAACTGTGTATCTCGCTGTCCTTTACAGCAATTTCTTCATGCAGCCTTGTCAAGGAAGCCTGAAGTACAGCAGTTGTATCTGGATTGTTCTCTTTGTTTTCGTCTGTTCCTTTAGCCTAACCAATCAAAAAAAAAAATCATCATATGAATGGAACTCAATATAAGTAATGAAATGATGTACTACACAGGGAATGAACCTTGTTGGCACCTGTATGTTTTTCCAGGTGACAGTGTTATACTGTGCTAAAGGAAGCATTTGAATCACAGCCCATGGCGAGGGCAAGTGTCACCAGTAAGACCAGCTCTTATTAAGAAATCTTCTAAATTAGAGCATGGGATTTCAGGACCATTATACACAGTGGATACCACCCCACTGTGGAGTTCCCAAAAATGAAAGAGCTGATAATCTAGTCAAGGTAGGTGCAACCAAAGAACAACCTGACGTACCAGTCTATTATGAACAGAAGAAGAGAATAATCAAATCAATCAGAAAGTCTCCAAAACAGGCACAAGACAATAACAATATTATCGACAGACCAGAGCAAGTCATTATTCTACACCTTAGAACAGGGCACAATCGACCTGGCGCACGTGTACACAACATTTTTAATTGGCTAACCAGCCATGTGCACATGTGGACTGGCACCAGAGACAACAGATCACATCCTCAAAGATTGTCCCATATACAACATATCAAGGCACAATTTCTGGTCAAGAGAAACACTGGTGGAAGCCAAACTTTACCGGCCGCTAAGTGAATTACAAAAGACACTGCAGTTCACACAAGAGACAGCACTGCAAATATAGATAATTTACTTCAAGTGAACAAAAGAAGAAGAAGAAGAAGAATGAACGAACGAAGAAGAAGAAGAAGAAGAAAGAGGAGGAGGAGGAGTAGAAGAAGAAGAAGAAGAACCATTGCTGCCATCACATGTATTTAAGGATGCTTCTTCTCAGATACTCATTTCTCAACTTAATCCCTCTGTTGATTCTGGGGCTCCCAATTGGTAGGGAGAAGGGGGTGGGGGAGGGGGAGAGATAAACCTATTGCCTTTCTAACAAGCATGTCATAAAAGTAGACTAATTAGAGGAGTTTTTCATAAAGTCTGAATTCATCTGCCTGAGAGTGGGGGAACCAACAGTCTGCATACAAATAAGCCAAACCTCTAAAACAGATGTGCACACCAAAATCAAGTTCTGGAACAAGACTAGAGTACAGAAGTGGACGAACAATTAGAACTTTCCGCTGGAGTTCACAGCTGGTGAACGTAAACAAGAAGAAACAGAAAAAGAAAGACCACTGTGGAAATCTCATATACTTAACATGATTCTTTTCAGACATGCAGGGGGGTATATGCTTTTGTGTCTCTGAGAAACAACATCATCATTTACCAGGTCCTTTGCCAAAGATCGCTCTCATCATTCTGCCTGAAAGAAAGTCTCTCGCCAGCTCTCCCGCCTCGTGCAATTTTCTGCCTAAGGTGTTACCTGTATCACATGCTCATCTTCATGTTGGTCGACCCCTGCTCCTCTTTCTTTGTACCATGCTATGATATAGCCAAAATATTTCAGCTTAAGATCAGATGCTGTTTAGTTTAGCCAATCTTTCTTGACATTCAGGTATTTTAGGATGTTATTATTTTTTTTGTTTTTTTTTTGTTTTTTTTTTTGTCTACGGTATTCTAAGAATCTTTTTTATAGCATCTGAGCTCCAAAAAACCCTATTTTCTTCCTTAATGACTGTGAGATAGTTCATAACTCACATTCCCCTCCCAAGCGCTTATTAAAAGCCGCTAAGCCAGACCACGACGGACATGTTACACAGACAAAAAAAACCGGGCAATACTGATCACCACAAATAAACAAAATTCATCTAAGATAGCAAAGAAACAGTCCTCAAAGAGGACTAAGCTCGGAATTTTTGTTTATCAATTGGAACTAGAACAAC